AGCTAAAAAAGAATATATCACTTTTTAATTATATTTTTGCTTCCCTTGTTTTTTTCACGTTACAGAAAATCAACATTTATTGCATCAGTGATGAGTGTCGAGGTTTTTACATGCCCCCTCCCCTAGCTCATTTGTGTCAAAAACAAGTACATTTTACAAATATGCGCTACAAGCTTCGGGATCGGATGCAAAAACAGTGTCAGCTACACCCCTACCAGAAAAATGGATGACGTGATAATTAGCGGATATGCACACATTACCATAATAGATGTGGAAGTGAAGAGTGTTGTGTGAGGTGGGTTACGGAGAGTTCACTGCATTTTATTGAGTGGGCGGGGCTATAAATGACATGTGTTTTTTTTTTTGTATTTTTAAACAGCTGGTGGATCACAACATAAAAATGTGGTCTTTCCACATTCCAACAGAACCTGAAAACAAACAAAAAAGCTGCATTTGCCAGTGACCTTCGAGCAAGTGCAGTGCAGTGCAAAGTGGTGCAGTGTCGCATCTCGCGCTGTGTCCTTCCTGTTGTTGTCACGCCGACATCGGCAGCAGCAGTAATGGCGTTGCCATCGCCACAAATGTATCAGGCCCCACATCTGTGTGGACAAAAAAAACGGTGATGCTCCTCCAGAACCGGCAGCAGCTGCCTCCGTAGACCACAGTGCCCCCTGCAGACATGCACAGCCGCTCCCAGTTGGAGCCCCTTCACGTGAATTGACCTCGAGTGATTTGATTAATCTTTACCCAGTGCCCTTCCTGACACAGCTGTCCCAAAGCGCTTAAAACGGAGATTTAGCGAAAAAGAAGTTTTCAGGTTGGCTGGACACCAATTAAAAAGAGACTCATGTGAAGCCATAATAATGGTTACCCAATGTCATGCAACATATGTTATATACTTTATGTATACTATAAGTATGGATATACTAATGTTTCCGGAAGGTTCAGGTGGGTTTTTTTGGGGTTCACGATAAAAAGAGGAGCAAGGATGCTTGAGAACAGAACTTACAGCATATTTGTTTTGACCACCTTGTTCAGAATGGAGATACAGGGATTTTTGCTGTGAAAAATAGCAGCTAAACTAAGACCCACATATATCAGTACCAGGGAGAAACACAAACGTCTGGATATATAAATTTGCTTGATGACGCACCGTCCTAATGAAGTCAGAAGGGTTAGGTTAAGCAGACGACTGGGACCAGGAGACCAAGACCGAGCCAAAGATGTAAGATGTTCATTCTGGAAGCCTGAGATGTTCCCTGAAGCGACAGCATGCTGCCTTTAATCCATCCATCCATCTCCCATAACTGCGAATCCAGCCCAGGGTCATGGCAAGAAGGGAGGCTGTCCCAGGAAGCACAGGACACACGGCAGGGGGCAGCCGGGCAGGATGCCAGTCCATCCCAGGACATGCATGCAATCACACTCACATGGCTAAGGGTAATCTAGCGACATCATTTACTATAATGGCCACTAGAGGAAACTGGAGCACTGGGGTGAAATCCATGTAAACACAGGGAGAAATATCCAGCAACACACACAAGACCCTAACCCCTATGCAGCCCCGAAAGTCTTGTATTTTAGGTGTTTGATTGCAGTCACAGATTTTTATAAAATTGAATTTCCCCTTGTGGGGACCGAAAAAACAGTCACCACAATGTCAAAATAACAGGTTTTTATCACATTGCGGGGACCAAATGTCCCCACAATGTAATATATACATAACCCCCCCCCCCCACCACCACCACACACACACACAGAGTCCTTCAGCCCTAACAGCCATCCTCTCCTTGTTCATCTGACTTCATCTTCACCTGCCCACAATGGCACGCAAACAAAGCACCCGTGAGTGGCATATCCTGTTTTGAATTAGTGCAGACAGGCACCCCCGCTTGTTGTAGGCAGGCGCGGCCCGGCGCTGCCATAAGCTCCTCCACCCACCGTGACAGCCAGCTTGGCTTCCCCCACGGCCGAGTGCCCCGGCGTCCTCGTCCGAGGAGCAAGCGCTCTGGCTTTGCGCTGTGAGGCAGAGAGCCGAGCGGGGGGGAGAGAAGGAGCTCGCGGCATGCCGCTATCCTCTGCTCCGGCCCTCATCTCAGCCAGAGTTCCGGCCAAGAGAAACTGTTTATCTCTAAGGAACAGGGGTCACATCCCCCCCCCCACCCCCAACCCAGATATGTGGTGATGTACGAACATGTACTACTGACACGTCACTAGGCCACATGTTTGCTAAGGGAAGCTTCACAAGTACCATCTGCTAAGGGAAGCTAGGCTAGCACGATCTGCTACGGGAAACTATGCTAGTACCATTTGCTAAAAGAAGCTACGCTAGAATTGTTTGTTAAGAGAAGCTATGCTGGTAAATATTTCTTCATTTAACTGCTAATCTTTAGGGCTAAATTAGCCCCTAACTGCAGGCACATTAAGGGAGCAAAGGTTTACAAAAATGATCTGATGAACAGCACAGAGGTCTGCAATTTTAAACAGATATTTTAGTCCATCCATCCTCCATAATGGTTTTATCCACTACAGATTCTGCAGCCTATCCCAGGGGGCACAGGGTATAAAGGAACGAATGGAAAGGACACCATTGGGGTTCAGGACAAGCTCACACACAGTCACACACTCTGGGCTGTTTAGGTTCTCTAATCCACCTAAACCACGGCACTTTGGGTGGACTGTGGAGACCCGAGTACCCAGAGGAACATGACACGTACAGCAGGAGACCAAGGACAGGAAATGATGCTTCTCCTCCGAATTTAGCTCGCTTGCCACACCCGTAATGCTAGAAGATTCCATCTAATGGGTTTGTCGGTGTTATCCCCCAAGAGCAAGGGAGCATTTTGGCACTCAAAGTCAAGACATTAATCAGAGCGTCAATGGAGACTGCCGACTGAAGCGATTCCCTGGAGGCGCGGTGCTCGTGGTATGGCGGTGGTCATGGTATGATTGCACCTGCGGTATAGCAGCACTCGTGGAATGATTGTATAGCAATATGGCGCTCTACTCCTTGTCCTTCATCAATAATACAGGAATCCTTTTGGCCGCAACAACTGCCACATGGTTACTGTAGCGCAACCAATGGGATGCTTGTGTGTTCAGTTGTTTGTTCATCTGTTTGTTTACTTCAAACCCTTTGGAGGGGCAACCAGTGGTTTTTCTTGTTGGGTACTGAATTTTGTATCACTGGGGAAAATTATGGAACAATAAAAAATCAATAAAACGAAGATCTTAAAGGGATGGGTTGCCTAATCGACTAAGTTAGTGTACCTTTAATAGAAATATCAGACTATACTATGATTTTCCTGGGATTGGGCCTTTGAAGGATCATCAAATTTTAGACTATTTTCTATGAATGATAATCCCATAACCCTTTTAAAGTGGTTTTGTACCACCAGACAGACTGTTCCATACACCATAGTAATGTGTACCATCCTTACTACTGTACAGAAATCATAATGTTAAAACAAACATTTTTAATTAACACAAAACTAAGAATGTCGTATGATAGCTGGTGAATGGGAGCCAAATAAACAGAGGGATCCATCACAACCTTTGTACAGCCGGTCAGGTAATCACCAGCAATTCTGCTTTTTTCCTAGCACACCCTGGTGTTGTTTTATGAAGCCTAAAATAAAGAGATTTTTTGGATAATTTATTTTAATTTCTCCCCAAACTACGTTACCTGGATTAAAGCAGTTCTCATATACTGCTGTGGCTGATTTTGGCTGAGGATCATAAAGACCTCAGTCAGGGTCCCAGATCAAAATAGACCCCAGCTGGGCATCAAAGTAACCTTTTGCTAGCCCTGATCCTGGCGGGCAACCCTCAGCATGCTGGTCTTCACGCAAGCTGTGCCCTGTATCAACCAGCCTTGACCGAGCCCATCCTCTGATTTCTGTGAATTCACATTGCTCAGTTTTTTCCCTTCAGATATGCTTCCCATTGCCACATTTATGTACAGATATAGAATTATGTTTCTACAAAAAAAGTAACTGAAATGTAAGTCAAACATTACCCAAGCTGGGTTTATGTTTCCAAATCATCCAACACACCTAACAAAAAAAAACATGCACACACAAGCCAAAAATACACTAGTTACATGCACTAAAGAACACATATAAAATAAATAAGTGCATCAAATGCTTCTGTAAACTCCATGTATCTCAGATATAGACCAGATTTATGTAAGTCGAGAGCCACCTTTATTTGAAAACCTAAGGTGTTATTAGCTATATTTACTGTTTATCCGTTGTGTACATTTTAAAATGTAAAGAAATAGCTAATAAAATAATATATTTTTGGGAAGGAGGACACAAAGGCTTAATTTTTTTAAGTGGGGAGAAAAAAAATGTCAAGGCCTTTTTTCCACTTCTTTTCATATCTGGTAAATAGACATATGACATCCAGATGATTGATTTGACAACTGCCCAATCAAGGCTAATGGAAAAAGGAGCCAGATGGATCTAAACCACTGCACACGAGACTGGGACATCTTGTTCCAGGGCACTGGTTCACATCCCTGGTCCATGGGGGGGGCGGGGGAGTTCAGCCGGAACCCTCTGCCTGATCACTCGACTGTCCTGTGCTGCCAACTGAATCAATTTGGCCCGGTTCCTCAGGGCTGAGGCTGCTAGCATCTTACCGAGAGCTGTAAAATTTGCAGAAGGTGCGAGCGGCTTTGGGTTTAGGGACTGGGAAGAGGCACTGTTCCAGAATTTTCCCTTTAGAAAGCAGTCATTCAAAGATCACTAGCTCATGCTGAGTATAACAATAAATCTTTGTTACATATTTTAAAAATCTCCTTTTGATAAATCCAGGTTCATGTAAAATTATTCTATATGAGGCAGTCTTGACTGCTGCTAGCTTTTGCATTCATGTACTTTGAAGTAAACTGAAAAGTTCAAACGTTCAAAGTGTGACTGTCAGTAATCCTTCCATTCTGCAATGAAATGCATTCATATCTTTGTTTTCTTTGTTTTTTTTTCCTCTCAAATCAGATGGACAAGTGATAGAAGATACTAATGACAGAAGCCTCAGCAATTAATCCAGTTCAGAGAAGCTCTTGCACTTGGCTCATCCATGGGCTCGCTGCCTCTGCTCCTTGAAGGACGAGACGACCTTCATGAATCCACCGTGCATGACAACCTCATGTGAGACCGCTGAAAGGTTTCTCCGCTCAGCCGAGGAAAACGGCACCGCTGACTGGGACACTGATCAGGGGGAAATGTCTGTGGCATCGCCTCGGTAAAAAATGGCTCCCCTCTTCCTGAAGTTAACGGTAACAACCGTTGATTCTCTAAGCACCAGTTACAAGCTAAGGAAAAACGGGGCCAAAATGAAGGACGTGGCATTTGTGTTCTGTCTCATTATGGGAGTCGCTATGACTACTGTACTTCCTGCAACAGAGGAAGAAGCCAGCTGTCCCCAGTCATGTGTTTGTGAAATCAGACCATGGTTCTCCCCAAACTCTGTTTATATGGAAGCCCCTACTGTTGACTGTAATGATTTAGGACTCTCTGTCCTACCAGAAAAATTACCAGCGGACACACAGGTATTACTGCTACAGACTAACAACATTGCTAAAATCGAAAGGTCCCTGGAATACCTGGCTAACCTCACAGAGATAGATGTGTCTCAGAACAATCTGTCCGCCATTGGGGATGTAAACTTGGGCCAACTTCACCAGCTTTTGTCACTGCACATGGAGGAGAACTGGATTCATGTTCTTCCGGACAGCTGCTTCTCTGAGCTAACTGACCTCCAAGAGCTCTACATCAACCACAACAAGATTTCCATTATTGTGCCTGGGGCATTTCTGGGGCTGAAAAACCTGTTGCGACTCCACCTAAACTCTAATCGGCTGGAGGCTATCAGCAGTGAATGGTTCGAAGCCACACCACGACTGGAAATCCTCATGATTGGAGAAAACCCGGTTGCCAAGATCGAGGACATGAACTTTAGGCCGCTCGTTAACCTCCGAAGCCTGGTCCTGGCCAGAATGAACCTATCAGACATACCTGACAATGCGCTGGTCGGCCTTGAGCAGCTTGAGAGCATCTCGTTTTATGACAACACTTTTGCCAGAGTTCCGCGCACTGCCCTGAAGAAGGTTCAGAGTCTCAAGTTTCTGGACCTCAACAAGAATCCCATTCAGAGGATACAGAGAGGGGACTTCGTGGACATGCTGCACCTCAAGGAGCTGGGCATTAACAGCATGCCTGAGCTTGTGTCCATCGACAGCTTTGCCCTTAGCAATTTGCCAGAACTGACCAAAATTGAGGCAACAAACAACCCCAAGCTGTCCTACATCCATCCAAATGCTTTTCACAGGCTACCCCAGCTGGAGACACTCATGGTGAACAGCAACGCCCTGAGTGCCTTGCATCGTGTCACTGTGGAGTCTCTACCCAACCTCCGGGAGGTGAGTCTGCACAGCAACCCCATCCGCTGTGACTGCGTTGTCCGCTGGATGAACGCAAACAGGACGGCCATTCGTTTCATGGAGCCAGAATCCTTGTTCTGTGTGGAGCCGCCCGAGCTGGAGGGTCGGCAAGTTCGGCAGGTGCACATCCGTGAGATGACGGAGGTATGCCTGCCACTCATCTCTCCCGGGAGCCTCCCAGGGATAGTCCAAGCACGCAAGGGGAGTTCACTGTCTCTTCACTGCCGGGCATTTGCTGAGCCTGAGCCTGCCATCTACTGGGTCACACCCTCAGGAAATCGGGTCCTACCCAGCACCTTCTCCAAGAAGTACTACGTGCATCCGGAGGGCACGTTTGACATCTATGACATCACGGAACGTGAAGCCGGATTATACACATGTGTTGCGCATAACTTTGTTGGTGCGGACCTCAAATCAGTCTCTGTGGAGGTCGATGGTTACTTTCCACAGCCAAAAAATGGGTCCTTGATCTTAAAGGTTGAATCTGTGATGCCAAACTCCGTCCTAGTATCTTGGAAGGCATCTCTCGGCAGCCTGGCTGCAAACGTTAAGTGGTCCACGACTGCAACGCAAAGCAGACCCACCCTGGTCTTCACAGTGAGGGTCCCATCCAATGTGAAGGCATACAATCTAACACACCTAGAGCCCTCCACACAGTATAAGGTGTGCGTGGACATTCCCAGCATCCGCTACAGGAGACACGGAAAATGTGTCGACGTCACCACAAAGGGAATAGAGCCTGCGGCGATGAACTCGGAGTGGCAGGATGCTGCTGCCATCATGTCCCCTGCTGTTCTTTTGGCCATGGTATCCGTTGCCTGTTTGCTCATCTGCGTGATGATGAAGAACCGTCTCATGTCTGGAGAGTTGAGGAAATCGGAGTCTAAGACCTTGCTGAATCCCCTGGCTGAATCGCCCTTCCTACAGAGGAGATTTTGGGACTCTACTAAGGGGCCAGCCAGCGTGGTCCAAGTGAAGGCCACAGTTTTAGAGGTGTCCAACAACTCCATATAAAGAAACATACCTTTCAGTTATAAGTGTGTGGATTTCTTGCAAAAAAAAAAAAGACTTGAGATTGGACAAAAGCAAATGGGGAAAGCACAAAGCACGCAAGTCCCTAAATATGCATTTCTTGCCCCGACACTGATGTTCTGGAACACTGCAAGATTGTGTTTTGGAGGGGGGTCTCTAATGGCAAGAGGCAGACGTTCCATAAGCCAACGTTAATGGAGAAGTGGTCTACAGTGACTATATTAACAAGCATCACAGGGATTATCGCTCAGCACGTGGCTCGAGTTGCTGGGTATTGGCTGTTATCCAATGAACAAACAGAACCAAGGGCAGGTGAAAGTGTTGTCCCTTATTGGCTGTTATATATGTAAAGAATAGTGGAAATATCCTCGTGGTCCCAAGCAATACCTTGTGTGCTGTATTAAATAAATAGGCAAAATTAGACATGCCACACGTGATGTTTATAATGGAGAAAACCTAGTAGAATAGATCATAATGGTGACTATGATGTAAGACTTTTATGAAATATACATTTTTTATTAAAAAGGGGGCTTTGTCTTTTTTATGTTGGTAAACGATTTATTACGCCGGCCCGGAGAACCAGCTGAATACATGGTCCTAATTGCACGTTGCTGATGAAGCAGCGTGTTTGTATTATCTGGGGTCCGGGCGCTAAATTAAATGTCATGCCGTCACTGGGTGAAAATGACGGGCATATCCCATGGACAGCCGCAAATGGATATGGGGTCTCCCTTGAGGTATGGGGTAGGGGGGTGGGGTGGGGTACGTTTAACAGTAAAGAAACGTATGTTGATTCCTTGTCACTATTAATGAATTCAGTGTCTCTGAAAGTACCGGATGAGGCCGGTTTTTCAAATGTCAGTGAGCGGCTGTAACTAAAGTGGAACACGGACCTAAGATTTCTAGAGACTGTGAACAAGGGAACACGAGCAAAGCCCCCTGAACAACAATTATGAGCTCACGTTTAATGTTCCAACAGCAAGACAACTATCTTGGGTTATAAAAATGCTGGAAGACAGCTTGAAATTTCAACTATTGTATTGCTTGTGAATAAAATTCTACCCACAAATAAGGAGGTCAGCCTCTCCGGTGTATCACTGCGGTGGTGGATGGTGACAGAATCCCATAAAGAACATAAAGTTAGCTATTAGCTGCGCCATAAACATGAGAAGGGTGGTAATGAGTTCCCTTCCTGATTTTAGGGTTCACAGGCCATTGTGAGTGGTGTCTCTCTGTTTAGGAACTGGAGTCTGCTCAGGCCAAGGACAAAGCAGCTCAGGTAAGCTGAAGACACTTTCCGGGTGTGATAACGTGTGTGAGTCTGACTCCCTTTTGATGGACTAGCCTCCATGTATCCAGCCTCATACCCTGATCTTCTGTATCTCCAGGACTCAGACTGGATAAGCTTTTATCGAAAACGGATGGGCCGACATATAATATGGATCAGACAAACTTGTCCTCAACGAATCTCTTGCGAATGCTCTCAATCCTGTGCACAGTGGAAGCATTTTCTTTCTGCATTGGCTGTTCCTCAATTGTTTCACTGCCAATACAAATATTAAAACAATTTTTACTCGCCACAGTGACAGAAAGATCGACATCTTGACGTGTGTAGACTGACAGGATAACCCGTCTCATAGACAGAACCACATATCATGGCGTCCGCATCATAGATGAGCCTTAATACGGAAGGTGAACGCACACTCTCGTACCGCAGGTTCAGGCCCCAATTTCTTCATTTCATCTCCATTTATATAGAAACCCTTGACCTTTGACCCCAGTCTGGCTGAGATGTCATGAAAAGGCCGTTTTAGCTAATAAGAGACACCACATGAGGTGGATAATGAAACTCAACAAAACTACTGTCTTTGACCACGCCAGAGATGATTCCAGAATGTATGCAATCCGGTGGCCTTTTTCTAGAGTTTTCCTCTGGGTTCTCAACTCCTCAAGACTCAACCGTCCAACAGCAGAACCCATGGGAAATTCTAGGATTTTGTTATGGTGGGAGGCATATGAGGGGCTGTTTTGAACTGGTGAATGATAGGGGAAGGGACACAGTAGGGCCAATCAGGTTTCAGCTGGGGCCAGGGCCCCAAGTCCCACCCTGTATATGCCCCTGCTGGAACCTGTCACAAGAGCAGATACTTATCTCCTGGGCTGCCCACCTTCCCAATCTGATCTCCTCAGTCCTCACCGATCCATACCTGATCCGGGACGGCGTCGACCGAACGTCAGCACCAAACGCCAGCCCGTGTTACACTTCCCTTAATTATACACACACGGCTGCAGAACAGATGTTGACTCATCCAGCCGCTAGCGGACTGGCACACTCCCTGACAGTCGCTGACGCGTGCTCCGTGACAGATAATCTACCTCAACGCTATATCCCAAAAAGCCGCCCTGACAGCTGGTTATGCTACGTCTCTTCCCACGCCGTGTGCCTTAAACTTAATGTATCTCTTGTTACCAAGCTAATTTCCATTTGCGCTGTGATGCATTTCGGCTCCCGAATATTCATCTCAAGACATTTTCGGCCGAAGATGGCGGTAATCCCCCAATGTAACGAACTGTCCTTTCAAAGACGGTAAGTGTCTGACTAGTGTGGTGCATGCGGTTAAGTGTTTTCTGTACAACACGTTACTATGACAACTATCTATAGCTCGGGTTTGCTAGCAATCAGAAAGAAAAGGTACCGAGGAATACTAATCAAAACAGAGGTCCTTCACAGCACACGGCTGTGGTTATGAAAGACAGGAACGAGAATATAAAACCGTTCCCCTTTATGGGATGTGCTGAAAATGATGCAATATAAAATATAACCCTTTAAAGCCAAATCCGAGAACAGATTTCTCATCCTGTAGTGAAACGTCTCTTTTTGTGACACCCCAAATGTGTTGCACGTTGCTAGCTCCTAATCACTAGCTTCGAGCGCACACACACACATACACACACACACACACACAAAATAACAGGCATTTAGTTTGGGGAAAAAAGAAAACATTGGATAATACACTGAAACGAATATAACCTATTTTGTTTAAAATGTGCCTTTTAATAGTGTTGGATTTTTGGCAAATTACAATTCAGTATGGAGTCAGAGTGGTTTTTCTAACTAGGCTCGTGCTATATGACTAAAATCAAAACCGTTTATTCCTTTTTCCTATTTACTTGCATGACAGTACGTCACATGGATACCTGCATTTCAGCTTGGAAAAAATAAAAAGTGAGGAGATTAGTTTGCCTGCTAACAGATCAGGAAGCAGGGGCCTTTGCGTATCTGTCTCGTCATCAGGCAGGCTGAGCTGCTGCACCATCTCCTCCCTTAGCCATATATATTACAGTCCTGTGGATTAAACTCCAATAAATCAAACATGAAACGAACTAGTGAACTGTCAGTGTTTAACGCACAGAGAAAAATGAAATGAGAGGTTACCCAATGAATATTTCCCAAATCACTAAAGTTCAAAATCCATTTCAATGCAGCACCAGATTACAATGTACATCTCTGTGAATATTAAGCTTGTTCTAGACAAAGTGACATGATAAATTGCCTCTAGCGAGGTGGGAAGAAGGAAAGAATTTTAAACTCATTTACCTGCAGCCTTTCTGGATATATTTTGGTGAAACTCCCCAAAACTGAAAATAACATGCTTTGAAAGAAAAAAACACAATTGTGGTGTGTTATATTAGAATGTGAACATTAGAACATATGACTCCTGTGGATTACAAAAGGAAGAGTGCATCATGTGACTGTACAGACACTCCTCATAGGGCAGGGGCTGTGACTCCCTTACACCTGATTGGTATGCGTACACATCCACACAACATAAGTGGCATGTCCCCTTGAATTTGAACCCAATTGAATTTCAAAGTGAGGTGGCTTAGCGGGAGCACTGTGGCCTTCTGTCTCAGGGATTGTGGGTCTGATCCCTCCCTTGACTTGTGTGTGTATGTCTATGGGTTATGTATATATTAATGTATTAAAAAATTTGTTATGTTGATGTTGTGGGGAGAATTTTTTTCAGTTCCCACAAGGGGAAACTCAATCTCATAAAAATCCACGACTGCAATCATGAATCTAAAAATGTTTGGGTACTTATGGTTAAGGTTAGGGCTGGGTAGGGGTTAAGGCAGGGGTGGACTTCCCATAATGCAAGGGTAGGCAGCCGCCTGGGGCCCCGACAACTAGGAGCCCCATGAAGATAGAATTTCCAGAAGTTACATTTATGGATAATATAAGTGATTGTTTAAATTACAGCAAGATGTCTGTTATTTGCATTTTTAGTGATACTTTTTAAGACAAAGTTCCCCCATCCAAGCTGTAATGGACTATTCCCACTACCCAGCTTCCTTATAAACACTGGAGTCTAGTGGTAGGTTGCTTCACTGCCAAGTGAACTGACAAAGTAGCAGAAGAAAATGGTGCAAAAATACAAGCCTAACATTACATTTCCCATGTTTTTGATACTGTCCTGCAAGAGTCGTAGATTAATTGTAATCGGATATGAAGAGACACGATTAACGACCGTATGCAAAAATTCAAGATTAACCTTAACAAAAGAGGGAACAGTTAAATTTCTAAAATTTGACCTATCAATCCACCAGTGTGATACCCCCTCCCCCCGATTGGTGAATATTACCGACGGTATTCCTGCCCCCACTCAGATTGGTAAGTTTTTCCGCTGTTACCACTGGTATACTGTTGATGTTTCATTGTTTTTAATTCCCTTTTGTTTCTATATTGGCCTGAAAAACTAGCTCAAATGGCCCACTAAGCCCCCCCACCCCCACCCCAGCCTACAGCTCCCAGGTAAGTTAGGTTGTCGATGCTGGGATTAGGGTTCTTCCCACAGAGATGAATGGACAGTCCACACAAAGATATGAACGTGTGTGTTTGTTGAAATGTCACATACAGGCAGCTATCGACTGAAGTAAGTAATCCGTTTCACAAACTATGATCTAAGTCAAATTTTATGTAAATTGAATTTACCTTTCCATATCATTCAAGACACCACATAACAAAAAACACATAGACCAAAAATATACAGTAAAACCTTGGATTGCGAGCATAATCCAAGCACTCGTATATCGAATTTTCCCATTAGAAATAATGGAAACAGATGATTCATTCCACAACCCAAAAATATTCATATAAAAATGATTAATACAAAACATAAAGTAAAAATACATAAAACAAATTAATCTGCACTTTACCTTTGAAAAGAATCATGGATGGTGTGAGGGAGGTGAGAGAGAGGAGAAGAGGAGGATTATTTTGTAGGGCGACTTTCACTATAACTAACAGAATCACCGCTATCTGTTGGCTCACTGGAATCTTCTTCTTTTTGTGCGACTTTAACAAGGAGCCTGTCAGGCTTTTGCCTCCTTTTCAATTTCGTGGAAATGTGGACATTGCATTG